CCGCCCCTGCCCCTGCCCGCACCGCCAGCTACCCCTGTTTTACGGCGAGGGCGCTGCCACCCCAATCCTTTACTCATCCTCTCTGAGAGCTCCGCCCACCTTGACTTATTTCCAATCGAACTCGTTTACTTTCATGTTTAAGCGGCTTTCGCGTTTATGTAGGCGGGTTTACTCTTCTTTGCCGCCGCCCGCCGTCCCTTCGAGCCGTCCTGGCAATGAGGAGGGCACCGCCGATAGTTTCTTGCCTACCCCCGCCACGCCACGCCACGCCCCGCCCCGCGAGCCACAACGCACCGCGGGGGGTCGGGGGTCGGATGGGCTGGGGGCCGGAGGGAGGGACGGGACGAGCGGCGGGCACGTTATCACCCCGTGCTTCCGGGTCGGGACGGGTTAGGACGGGACGAGTGTAATTTATAGACGAGCCGGGCGCTGAGGAGTTGAGAGGCTCCGTGTCGGACCTTCTCCGGCCCCCGGCCACCCCACCCCGCACCCCGCACCCGCGTTACACGGCACTGGGAGCGCCTCCCTCCACGTGCCCCCTCCTCTCGCCCTCAGAAGCCGCCACCGCGAAAAGAAAGAAAATACCTTCGGAGGGCGGTATGCGGTGCTGTGCGAGGCGCGTGGAACCCCGCGAGGTTCAAGGCGCAGCGCAGAGTGAAATCAGATGTGGGTGAGTGGGGTGGGGCGTGGCGGAGCCGGAGCCGTTGCACCACGGGCACGGGCGGCTCGCAAAGTCATTCGACGGGGTCGTGGCGGCGAGGCTATGGCGTTCCGTCGCTGGGGCTAGCCACGTGTGCTGGGCGCCAAAGAGCCGGAGGCGACGGTGCGCCCCGCCCCGCTCCGCCCCGCCGACGGCCTGTAGAGCCTCGAGCTCCTCGAGCCCTTGCAGCCCCTGCCAGCCGTGGGGCGCCACCACGGCGGGGTGGGGTGGGGCCGGCTGAGGTCGTGGCCAGAGTGGAGGTCACCAACCACCGCGCCGCCGACCGGAGCAGGAGCAGTCGCCCAATGAAAACAACAAAAAGTGACGCGAATGACGTTGTCGTACTACTACCGCTCGCCGCTCCACGCAGCTCCCTCCCTCTTTCCACCGCCCGCACACCGGCAAGAACAACGCCTTAATGGGCTGAATGCCGAGATAAAAGAAGGCGCGTATTCACAAAGTTTCGCGAGTCGCCGTTTAATCAAACTCTACTCGACGCTGTTCGCCACTTCACCCTCACCCCCCGCCCGTCTTTCTGCTCGCGGTAGTTAGGGCTCGATCTCCGGCGGCCGGGGTTGGACAGGAGATGAGGGAGTGGGGGGGGGAGGGGGGGTAGAGGGGTGAGGGCTCATCTCCACGCCTGACCGAGCCGAATTGGTGACGAAATTTTGTGTCTCGAGCATAAACTTGTGGTGGTCCAGCCAGCACCAGCCGGCGGGCTGCGCCGCCCACCCCGCCCAGCCGCCGTCACGCCGCAGTCGAATGCCCGGGCTGGGGGTCGCTAAGGTCAAAGGTTACGCCCGGCCAGTCAGCAGCGGCCGGGCTTAGCTGGGGGCGTGGAGGGGGTGGGTGAGGGGCTGAGCTGGGCAGCCGCCGCCGCGGGGCGGGGCTGTGCAGCACAACAACACCGGGGGGGGTGGGGGGCAATATGGTCAGAAGCGGCTCTGCTCAGCGGATGAATAACGTGATTCATGACCGCAGAGGAAAACTGTGAAAGCTCCTCCGTTTGCAGGAGGAGTTCGGCCTCAATCTCGCCCCGGACTCTCGCCGTGACGATCCCCACAGAAAAGATGATGATGATAATGTTATGCTGATTTATGAGGCCGAGGTGGTGATGGTGGCCGTGGCCTCTGCGGCCGTGGCGAGCGCCACCCACTGATGATGACGCTCTTGAAAAGGCGAAGCGGAACTAAACTTGGGATGAGGTTCGGTCGGTGTCGGTAGTTCGAAGATGAAATTCGCGATCCGCATCGACAACTCGTCGTCCGTCGTCACTACCACC